TCATCTTCTAAAACCTACTATTTACTATTTATTTATTTTATGGTACTATTTTGGTACTTTTTTAGATTTCAGCCACTAAAAGATACTAAATCTGCTTTTTTGAAAATTTACACTACTTTAAATTCGCTAATACTAAAAATCAAAAAACTATTCTCAATCCTAGAGATGCAAAATTCTCGGTAATTTAAAGTCCGGTTATATTCTTGAGAATATGACCAAAAATATTTCAGAATATTTAAGGGAGTCACCCCATGTGACGGACATGTTTTAAGACTTTTTTGGGATTTTCTTTTTAAGAACCATGAAAACTTAGAACTTCAAAATTTTTACCATATATTCAGTAACATTTTAACAGTAAATTCAAATTTTTGCAAGTAAAAATATTTTAATGATTCCGAATTATAACACTTGGATCAGCATCACGTGATGCTGATCATAAAAACGCCGTGTATCGGCGACCACGACTACTGACTAATTGACTGATCTAAAATAAACAAAAGAAATTGTATTTTAATCTGTGAGGTTGTGGCTATCGCCGGAACTAGGTTTATTTGAAAATATTAAAATTAATTTTTTTACGCGGCTTTGAATTTTGTTGTATAAAAAAGAAACGACTTGACCTTTTTCAATTATCCTAGTTTGGGCGATAGTCACATATGTGCTGAACATAATGCACTGTAAATTTGAGCGATATTGGTCAAGCTGTTTTTGAGATATCATGGTCGCCAGTTTGAAAAAGCAGAATTTCTCATAAATTCTCCTGGAAAAATTTGGTCGGTTATATTCTCGTCCTCGTTACCGTTCTCCAGGTAATATTATCTTTTTGCATCTCTAGAAAAAGGAATTATATCAAAACCACTGATCTCTATATATATAACTGGATGGGCGACTGTATCTAAAACTGCAAAATATTAGAAGACCGGAAACGCCACATTTTAGATGCCCACTTTTACACAAATGGCGGAAATTTTTAAATATAAAATTGAGATTGATATACGTTTTGCTGTATAGAAAAGTACTTAACTGATTAGCAAATTTTTTAAATTTAATAATTAATTAACCGTCAATTACTTTCTTAATTAAATAATTTATTAATCACTTATTTTATTTTAAAAACTGATTAATTAATATAGTAACAGAACTTTTAGTATTCAAACATTATATAAACTCAAATATTATTAAAATAATATTTTTATTTTTAAATAATAATTGATTAAAAATAATATTTTTTTAATTCGGTAAGGAAACTAAAATTATTCAGCATTACACTAATATGTGTTTAACAATACGCAAAAGTGTGTAAAATATTCTACGCAAAAAGGAAACAAAATATAACCTAAAAATATAAACTTCAATAATATGTATTTACTGTTTAAATATGTACTTTCATGTGAAAGGACCCAATGGGAAATTTACAACTGGCTTAGTACTGCGCCAGCACTGGCAGCACTGGCGGCAAGGCTGAGAGCCAGCACTGGCATGGCACTGGGATGATAACGCCGTCTGGCGCTGCCGAAGTACTGTCTGTCAGTGCTGCCAGACAGCGCTGGCGCAGCACTGGACCAGTGCTGGCTGAGAATATTGCCGCAATAAATGCCGTATTGTTATTAATTAGTCGTAAATTCATAATTATAAATAATTTAACAACAAAATGGTAAATAATATTAATAAATAGTTATTATTCATAAAATATTTCTCTTCTTAAAGAAATTGTATTAAAGATGGAGACAAAAAATGCGGATATAGTAAATGAAGTAGAAAAAAATTGTTTATAACATTTAAAAATTAAATAACAAACAATTACAGTAAGTGTGCATTAGATTTTCATATTTTAGTACCTAACGATTGGAATCTAGAAATATCGCAAACCTATGAAAATAAACAAAATTGCTGACGAGGGGAATCGAACCTACGACCTACGGACTAACAGACTAAAGCTCTAACCCCTATGCTAACGACACATGTGTACAGTAAAGTATTAATATCTCAGTATCATTCAGACATACAATTATTGAGTCAAAGATGAGAAAAAAATAGGGATACGTTAGAAATAATAAATTCAAATAAAGTAAATTTTTTAATAATTAAATTAAATTACTTTACTTAATGCATTTAACATTTTACGTAATTCTTAAATTACGTGATAATTTTTTAATAAATTTTTATTCATAGTAAGAAGTATAATAGTATTTTAATAGGAACCAAATTATTACTGAGATTAAAGTTTAAATTTTGTTTATAATTTTAATTTGTTTAAATAATTTATTATTTACAAAATTAGACAATTGTGTTAAATTGTTATTATTAAATTTAATAAGAATAAAAAATGAACAACTGAAAAGTAAAATATTAATTTTTTTCAATAAATTTATATTTATAAACATTGATAAACTTTTTTTATAATTTTTTTCAAGTTTATGTCAAAAAAGCAATGTTGGCAAAGAGCGTTGTGAACAATTTTTCTATACTCAGCCAGCACTTGCCGCCGTGGCTTGTCCAAGCTTTGGCGAAACAAAAATTCTGTACTGCGCCAGCACTAATTGTCGAGGCTCGGCTAGACTACGCCGAACAATCGGCTGAGTACTAAGCCAGTGGTGAACATCGGCACTACACTGGCATTTCCCATTGGGGAAACACCCTTTGCTTCTTTTTTTCCACAATATAAACAAATTAACACATTGTCTGTGTTTTATATCACTAAAGTTAAATTAAAATTATTAAAGCACTTAAGATGTCAAAACATTGGAAAAACACACACACTATATCAAAAGCACACTCATACGGCAACTAACACAAACGAAGCCGCTCTACGCTGCTTCTCCGGCATCTAAAATATGACGACGAAGGTTTCAATTATTTTCACACCGGAAGCCACTTTTCTACAGCAATCGCCCACCCTGTAAAAAAAAAGTATTGGGAGGTACGGGATTCCGTATTGCAAGTGCCAACCTGCCAATGCGGTATTCGCGAAATACCGCATTGGGTGTCGTGGTGAATACGGAAATCAAGGGGTCCCAATGCGGTGCAAGTTTTAAGCTTTAAAAAAAAACGAAAATACGTGACAGGAGGAAATAATTAGTGTCAGTGGAGAAATATGCGAGTTAAAGGAATGAGAAAATAATAATAGTGAGTGTAAAAATGAAATTTTAAGAAAAAAAGGTAAGTTGAACTGTCAAATATGAGTAGGGTGACCATATGTCTTAGTTGACAAAGCAGGACATTACCCCCACTTTTTCCCCCTCTTCTTCTCGTCGTTAATAAAAATTATAATTGTTGCACGCTGTATAAATAAAATAAATATTATTCCTGTAATAAAAACAGTTATTAATTAATGACAAATTTTAATTAGTTTCAAATATTATATTCCTGAATATGCTTGATATATTCTTAAAAATAATTTGCCATAATAGGTACTTAAAATTGTAAATACAAAAAAATTTAACTAAATATCAAAAAGTACCACAGAAGTCTTTTAGGTTTTTAAATGCTTTTTTAACTTCAAATTTTTTTAGTAAGTCATTGTTATACTTATTGTATATTAGCCATAAAAGCTGTGTTGCTATTCGAATATTATCTAGTGCAAATATTAAAATTTATGAAAAAGCAGGACATTAGTAAAAGAGGCAGGACAGCAGGACAGACGTTAAAAAATAAGGACATGTCCTTCCAAAGCAGGACGTCTGGTCACCCTAAATATGAGTCCAATGCGGCGTAGGCTGCTTTCAATACGGTACACAATCGGTACATAGTGCAAGTCGCCAGTAGAGGGCAGAAGCAAGCAGAGCGAATCGAGCGAACACAGTGGCCCAGCTGATATATGATTTGCATTACATTACTTTCCAATTTTTTATTTTATAACCACGTTTCTGCATGAATCTAAACAATATTTTCGATTATTGTAATTTAGAAGATGCTTACCAATTGTACGTTGGCAGATTTAGTGAAAAGTGTCTGTGTACGGAGACAAATGTGTTAGAAAATGTTTGTTTACCTATTTCACGCCATTCAAACCAGTCAAAGTTGCTTTTGCTGTGGCGCATTGAAATCAGCCTATGCCGCATTGGGCCCATATTTGACAGTTCAACTTACCTTTTTTCTTAAAATTTCATTTTTACACTCACTATTATTATTTTCTCATTCCTTTAACTCGCATATTTCTCCACTGACACTAATTATTTCCTCCTGTTACGTATTTTCGTTTTTCTAAAGCTTAAAACTGGCACCGCATTGGGACCTCTTGATTTCCGTATTCACCACGACACCCAATGCGGTAATTCGCGAATACCGCATTGGCAGGTTGGCACTTGCAATACGGAATCCCGTACCTCCCAATACTTTTTTTTTACAGGGCATCCAGTTAATATTGAGATCAGTGATCAAAACGGAGAGACATTTGTTTTGGTAAAAAAATATGAGAGGATTTGGTCCCATAAGTGTAAAAAATTCAAGAGTTAAGTGAATTTAGTCAATCCTAAACTGCTTGAAATTTTTGCACATTATTTTTCAGCGGATTAGACTTTAGCAATGAGAAAAGTAAAAGTTACATATTCATTAATTTGGTTACATTTCAAATATAGGTTATAGACAAAATTAAGCAAATGAATTTAGAACTATAATTTTTAATTTCCACATGTATTCCTTAAAAAAAATAGTCAAAAATTATATCAAATTGAAGATATTTTTTTGCATTAAATCACTTGTGACGAAAAGTAATCCTAACAAATGTATCATTTTCACTTCATGTGGAAACTTTAATAATTTTTCGAAAAAAAAACATAAAAACTACGAACTGAAGCTTTCTATCTATATGCGTAGAAATAATTTTTAAGTCAGAAAGTAAATAAAATAAAAAAATGAAGGAGTAAATAAATTTATAATAAATAATAATGAAATTGAATGAAAGATAAATCAAATTCGATCCCCCTCTTGAACCTTTGCTTTCAATTATCGAATTCTAGCGAACGTAATTCTCAATATCAAGAAAAATAATTTCGTTTCAGATTATTGAGACTGTACGAGGGCAGGCAATATCGAGAAGCGGCTGGATTTCTTATGAGACTGCCACATTATACATTGAGGGCAGCTTTACCGGATATCCCCATAGACCTTTTAATAGAAACTCTCCCCCACAGTTTGGCCCTCCTCGAGGCACTTTATTTAAGACTGATTGACCTACACATTGAAGATGTGAAAATCCTACGAATCGAACAGCTACTATGGAAAATTGTGAACTTGATCTCATCAAGTCAGGTTCACTTACACCTGAGAATATGGAGTAAATTGTTGGGTACTCTCTACCGGATGTCGCCCGGTGTCAAAAGCATGCTCTCCACGAGAAGACGAACATTAGAAAGAGCTGTCGAGGGTCTTGGTAAACACGGTTTGATATCATCGAGCCAGATTTCCGGTTTAGAAAATTCTACTACTTCGCAGAATCTCGTCCCTCTGTCACTTGCTCTCAAAGGGGAACTGGAGGCTCGCTCAGAAGCCTACAAGTTAGCACTTCAGAAACTTGAAAGCTGTGGGAAACACACTGGCACTTTCAAAGGTAAGAAGAACTATTAAATGGCCAATTTTAACGTATTAAAGACGATATCGTCAAACGAATTTATTGACAATTTTAACAGAAAAAATATTATCACAAATTCTACTTTTCTCCCTGATAGTCCAATTATTATCCTGGACTTTTGTTTTGTTGCGTGTGAACAAATCCTAAGCGACATTGATTAATTATTTTTGTTTCAAAACAAACGCCGAAAAACGATATATTCCAATTTTGACAAATTGACACTGATTTTTAGAAAAATAACTAACTTAAATAGAAATGTTTGAGAAGCTGATTCTCTTCAATGAAGAAACTTTTTATAGACAAACATATTTTTACATTAACACCTTCACTCATTCCGACCCAAATGTTAGGTAGTGGAAACGTTTGGCCATAACTGTTTCCGACCAATATATTGGGCCGTGATCATCTTAACTCAAAATAAATATATAATTTGTACACCCAGAGAAAAGATATATTTGATTCAAAAACAACTAGACTTTTTATTTGTTTCGAATAAATATTATTTGGTTCAAATAAATGTTTTATATATGATGAATAAAATGTTTATTATAAATAAATAACCTAGTAAGTTGTCTCTGAGACAAACATACTTTTATTTAACTCTAATAAATTATATTTGGTTTAAATAAAATTTTCTCTAGATGAATATAGATTAATAGATATTTGTAGGTATTTATATGAATACTATTTTTTGTAATAATTCATTTGTTATTATTCAATTTTAAATATATTAGGGGAGCGTGGGGTAATGGGAGCTTTTAAATTTCACGTACTTAGAAACCTTAAAATTCGATGCAATGTCTAGAAAATCATCTACAACCTTTCTTTATATCATTCCAAAACGAACGATCACATTCTTGACAGATTTTTAGTAAAGACAAGGGAAAATGTATTTTTTGAGTTTTCGTTGTAAAATGCAAAACATTTCTAAACATCACCATAAGTAGTTAAAATCGTATTATTTAGTTATGGTTTTTCATTATATTATAGGTGAATATGTTTTGATATGTATACATGCATAAAAATCGAGATAATAATAAAATTTGTTTATGTTTTTATTTTTTTCTTCAAATTTTGTCCTGTAAGAATTCTGTGGGGTAATGGGAGAATTAGTTTCAGCCCAAAGAATTTTCGTTACCATGTTACGGCTTTCGTTATTTTCTATTAGAAAACAAAAAATATTCCTAAAAAATAGAAATTTTTTAAATTTTAAGTGAAAGCTCCCAATACCCCACAAATTGGGTGATCTCGTTTCAATATTAAAATTAACAGTGATGTGTTAGTTTCTTGTCATTTCTTTTCGTGGCACTTGATAAATTCTATTATAAATTTGAACTCCCATGCGAGCGTGGTATAGTGGTTAGTGTATTCGATTTCGGTGCGATATAATGTTAGACAGGTGTAGGTTCGAATCCCCAAGCGTTAGAAATTTTAAGTTAATGTAAATAAAATTGCGATAGTTAAATCGAAAAATATGTTGAATGTACCATAAAGTAATAATAATAATTAATATGTGTAACTTCTATAATTATTTTTTTATTAACATTCACTAAATTGTCCGGACTAATTTTTGATTGTTTCGGACTAATTCCGGATTCACTAGTTAAAATTAACTGATTAATTTTGGACTTCATCGGACCAACTCCGGTTTCACTAGTTGTTCACAAACCGTATAGAGTTCGGATTTTTCCGGATTAATTTCGGGTGACAAAAACCTGACCATAAACCGCATTGTTTCGGACAAATTTCGGATTAGTCCGAAATCTGTCCGGTTTTTTAACCAGGGACGTTACTATGTAACTTATATTTACAATTTAGGTAATTTATTTATTTAAAAAAATAATTTTTTCTTTTTTTCTAATTTTTTTTTTAAAGAATTTGTTTTTTGATTTAGTGTATCTTGTTCTCAGTGAACCTGAAGAGGATGACAAACCTATGTCATCAAAACGTCGTTTTTGTTAAATAAATTAAATAATGCCATAATTGTTATTATTTTATCTACCTTCCTTTGGATCAAATTTTCAAGTTTATAAATAAATAATTTGGAAGGAAATTTCTCTATAATTTTAACTAACCTTTTTTCTGTCCAACTCAATTTAAAAATTACAATTCTAAGTTAAATTAAAAAAATGTTATAAAATAATTCTCAAAAATGAATTCTATGGATATTAAACATCATTTTTACAAATTATGAGATTTTTTTAAAAATAGGCTGCAACGGCTTCAGGTGAAATATAATGGACTGACCCTTTAATAAAATGGAATTAATCAAATTTTCAATTATAGTTATAAGCAGACAAGATTATTTTAAAAAATTGAAAAAATTCTTTGTTTAATTCAATTATTTTCCAAATTTTTAATTAAAATTACTTAAAAAAATATTATTTTCAACAAATTTAAAGAAACTCGTAAAAAGAATTTAATTATTTATAAAAACTATAATAAAGATTTAAGAAGCCATTTGTAGATTTATTTATGCTCGAAATAAAATGCATTTAAATTTGATGAGAAAAAACCGGGAAAAATTAGGACAAAGCTGGAAAATAACCGGGAATTTTGTTGAACAAAAATAGTAGATATCCTGGATATAAAAAGTAAATTTAACAAAAATTAGTCATTAAAATTCTAATTGAATGGAACTTTAAAAAATTAACTGTTCGAAACTATTGTCTCATTTGATTAAAATTAGAAAATTAAATAGGAAACTCAATTTTTAAAAATCTCCATCCACCCAGGTAGAGATTGACTATATAGGCACATTACTGGTTCAGTACGAAAAAATTTCAACCAGTATTGACTTTCATACTGGCCTATTACGTGTCCAACATCGGCAGGTAACGCCTCTGGCTTGGGCTTAGTACTGCACAGGAAAAAAAAAGTCTGACTCCGTTTACACCTTAAATTCAGCCCATGTATTTCACATAAGTCTGTCCTTGTTTAATGAGGCTGACTCCGTTTACACCTTAAATTCAGCCTCGAAAACAGGCTGAAAGTAAAACTTTTTTTTTAGTGTGTGAAAATCAGTAATATAATAGTACGGATTTTCTGTTCCGACCAGTAGTAGACCAGTAATAAAGCAATGCTGCGCTGGAGAAATATAACCCCTAAACATTCACTATATAATTTCGAAATCTAAAATTTGGAAAGAAAAATTAGAAATAGACAAATTAGGAAGTTGGAATTTTATTTTGAAATAAGAAATAAAATTAATTAATTTAATTTAATTTACTTTTAAGGATTTAGTCTGTAATTTGATATTAGTTAACAAGAATAATTATGTATTCACATGAACTTGAAATGTGTTAGGATAAATAGTTCTGTTTTACATTTTTTCATACGAATTCGTGTTAATCCATTTATTTTGTAATTTTTATATTTATTAAATAATAATTTATCATAATAACTGGAAACGGTAATAGGTAGTAAAAATTTTCTACCGAATTAAATTTACAAATAACCTAAATTCTAAACTATGATGGGATTAGAAAAACATTGACATATTTAAAGAATTGAATAATAAATTAAAGTTATATAGTAAAATTATTTCTATTTGATGTAATCATATCAACTTCTCAACGGCTGTATTAGTAGTATAACCTCAAAACAGTCATAATAGCAGCTGTTTCACTACCGCATTGCACGTACTGAGCCAGTAAAATGCCGGAGTTCCTAATAGTACAAGTTACACGGAAAATCAGTACTGTCAAACATTATTATATAAGTAGTGGATCGGACGTTAACTACGGCTGTTTACGAAAATTTCTGCCTGGTCAATTTCAATTTTTATTAATGACTTATTTAAGTTCAAATAAAATTATTCACACTTTGTCTAGGGTAAAAGTGGGTATTATTGCGGGTGTGGGTATTATCGCGGTATTTTATATTTTAATTAGAGGTGTGCAAAAAGCTCGAATAGCATGGTCGAGCTCGAGCCGGGCTCGATACTCGAGCCAGGCTCGAGTTTTAGTTACTCAAAAATATTTGAGTGCTCGAAAAATTCAAGTGCTCAAAATTATTTTAGGTTTAATACTGCACGTGTCGGATGGAATTTGGTTCAAGTTCGGATTGATTTTGCTCAGCTCTGCTAGAAAAACGAAAAGCTTGAAATACTCGATCGAGCTTTTTGTTCAACTCTAATTTTAATGAATATTTCAAATAATATAAAAAAATTTTGACACTAAAAAATCACTCCTTGAACCTGACAACTAAGACATTATAATATGCATCATATTTTTGATTATATTTCTATTAATCAGTTTATTAAAAATGTTTTGAAATTTGTTGTCTGAAAAAAGTTCAAAATGGCTCACCTTGGTTTGAGATTCAACTCTACAGTGGTGTCAAAAATTATTGTTTTTATGTTCTATAAAACTCTAAGAGATGATTCTTTTTTTATATTTTGGTAAATTTATTGTTATTCTTCATAAAAAAAATTTGTTTAGTTAAAAAAAAATTGATTTTTATTAAATATTTACAGTCACGATAATGGAGACATCTTTTTTTAACATGTGGGTATTTTCGCGGCTCCTATCATAACCCTTGAAAGTAAGGTTAGCAGTATGTCTCTAAAGTTTAAAACGTTGAAATTATAGCCGATATTATTTTTGCTTGTTTTAATTTATATTTTAATAAAATTACTTTGTATGTATATAAAAAAAATTAATTTTCAACTAAATAAATGTTGAATTAACATTGTTTTTTCACTTTGCACAGTAACTGTTAAACACATTTAGACACAATAAAAATTTCGATTATTTGAACGTTCAGAATTTTAGTAAATCTTATAACAGTTACAAAATTCAAGCAAGAAAATAAAGAGTAATAGAAAAGATAAAAAAATTAAAGTAAGTGAGATCTGGGTAAGACTCCGTCAGAAAAAAAGCGATTTGCAAGTGGTCTTCCAATTTCTTTGAAAGCTTGGGAAATAGAAGTCTTATATGAGTTAAATTAAACCCTAAAAGGATTTTGAAAAATTTTCA